GAATTGGGGAGGAGGACTTTGGGGACAGGAGATGGGGGAGCGGGAACTGGGGGGGACAGGAGTTCGGGGCACTCGGCTGCCTGCACAGGGGTCTCTCGGGGCAGGGCCGTGTGGGGGTCCCGCTGGGGGTCCCTGGGTGCTGTTCCGGGGTCCCGCGGGGGGTCCCTGACGCCCCGCGCCCCCAGGCTCGGCGCGCTGCCGCGGCTTTGGCTTCGTCACCTTCTCGCTGGGCGCGGACGCGGCGCGGGCGCTGCGGGACCCCCCCGCGCTGGGGGGGCGGCCCCTGCCCGCGGGGGTTTGGGGGGGCGAGGAGTGGCTGTGACCCCCCACACCCCTCTTCTTGTAGAGGGGGAGGAGAAAGGGAAGGTAAAAAAGGAAGAACAAGAAGACGAGGAAGAAGAAGATGAAGGAAAGGACGAAGAGAATGAGGAAGAGGATGAAAAAGAGGAAAAGGAAGAAAAGGAAGAGGAGGAGGAGGAGGAGGAGGAAGAGGAGGAGGAAGATGGCCCGGGAGCCAGGGGCACACAGAGGGGGGGGTTTGTGGGGAAGGGTCCCTCAGGAATCTGGGGGCTCTGACCCCGCCGTGCCCCCCAGGGCGGCCCCTGGCCGTGGACTGGGCCGTGGCCAAGGACAAGTACCAGGGGACACAGGGACCCCCAAAAACGCCTGGTGAGACCCCACAACTGCCCCCAAATCCCCTGAGACCCCAGACCCCCCCAGTGAGACTCCACAACTGCCCACCAAACCCACGCAGTGAGACCCCAAACCCCCTGAGACCCCAAACCCTCCCAGTGAGACCCCAGACCCCCATGTGAGGGGCTGGGCTGGCCCCCGGGGGTTTGGGGGGGCGAGGAGTGGCTGTGACCCCCCACACCCCTCTTCTTGTAGAGGGGGAGGAGAAAGGGAAGGTAAAAAAGGAGGAAGAAGAAGATGAGGAAGAAGAAGGAAAAGACGAAGAGAACGAGGAAGAGGAAGAGGAAGAGGAAGAGGAAGAGGAAGAGGAAGAGGAAGAGGATGAAGAAGAGGAAGAGGAAGAAAAGGAGGAGGAGGAGGAGGAGGAGGAGGAGGAAGAGGAAGAGGAGGAAGCTGCCCAGCCGCCCCGGCAGCCCCCAAAAAGGGGATCAGGGGTCAGAGCTGGGCCGGGGAAAAGGAAAAAAAAGCGGGTAGAGGAAGCTGAGGAGGAGGAAGATGAAGATGAGGAAGAGCAGGAGGAAGATGAGGAAAAGGAAGAGGATGAGCTGAGGGGGTCCCAGGGGATGGGGGCATTTCTGGGCGCCTGGGGACATTCCTGAGGGTCCGGGGTACCCCTGGGGGTCTGGGGATGTCCCTGGGGGTCTGGGGACATTTTTGGGGGTGCCCCGGGCCCCCCGGTGCCCTGACCCCCGTTGCAGAGCAGCCCCCCCGCCGGCCGTCGGACGTGGCCGAGGGCAGGACGGTGTTCATCCGGTGAGTGGGGGGCTGGGCCGGGCTGGGGACCCCCCCCGGGGCCCCCCAGCCCCCCTGAGCCCCCCT